TATTTTAGGGAAGAGTCTACAGGGTGTTCAGGGTCTCACTACTAGATTGGACTCAGAGCTCCGCCTGTTTACAGCCTCCCAAGAGCTGGGATTACAGGTGAGCACCACCACCCAGTCTCAATTGCCATCTCAGCGCACTTTGGGAGTGGGGCCGGCACAGCAGGCCCAGAGATTGAACCCCCAGCCCCAGCACCTGCTTGCAGGCACTTTAATCCGCTGAACTATTTGGCCGGCCCTGCAAATTAATAAATTTTAAAGGTAGCATCTCAAGCATATTGAGTGGGCTCTTTTCCACATAATATAATGTAGAGAAGCATTAGGTAATTTTAACCTTTATTTAGCAGTATTTATCCACCTAAGTTTGCCTTTCTAATAATTAACCGTGTCTCTGAAAAATGAAACATTTGTACCTTGAGTTAGATATGTAATGTCCTATTCCTTTTGCTGGTGGTATCTAGGAGGCATAAGCCACTATAATTTCTGGCAATGAAATCATCTGTTGCCACAATGTTTTTGTATTAGTACAAGAATTTAGAAGGTTTATTTATTTTTGTAGATTAGTTCCTAATTTCTGTTGCCTTCATGCCACTTTATTTTGTGTTTAGTAAAGGGCCTACAGGGTCTCACTACACACAGATCAGACTCGTAGTGATCCTCCTGTTTTCAGCCTCCTAAGTGCTGGGATTACAGGTGCATGCCACAACACCCACTCTCAATCACTGTCTTAGCCTGCCCCAGGGGCAGGGCCAGCACGGCACAGCACACAGGATCGAACCCTGGTCCCTGCGCTCTGCCTAAGCAGGAACTTGAGTACACTGAGCTGTCTGCCTTCATGCTACTTTAATCGCTTCCGGGAAATAATGCAATAATTAATCATTCATGTTTCAGCCTAAAAGTAAGATACAGCTTATAAAATCTTTGTAATCCTTGTATACAATATGGTATAATTGAATTGTAATATTTTTTAAATTTTTTTTTCAAAATTTTATTGATAAACAGCAATGAGACAGTTTCAAATCAAATCGGTAGTACAGTTTCAGTAACTAACACACTGCATATATTCTTCTTAGTAGTTAATTGCTGTACAAGATGCGGACTTGAGATCCTATTTACAAACACCATTAGAACAAATCATTCTATTCATTAAGAGAATGTAACTGTATATCTATCCTAACCACTTTGAATACACAGATATAAAATGGACATTCATCTGTACACCCCTTTTTTTCTAAGTTCTGTTATTTGAATATTATAGATGTGTAAACTCAGCAAAATATTCTAAAAGAGTCCAGTAGCCCATAATAGCATTGGGTCTTCTGTTTAACTGGCAATGTCAGAAATTATTGATTGAATTGTAATATTAATACTTCATTGTCATTGTGTTTTACACTTGAAAGTGATTTCAAATGCCATTGCAAGTAAGTCCTTAGTAAACCATGATCCCTGCATCAAGTCAGTGGGTGGGTGGAGAACAAGAGCAGCCAAGACAGATGGTGATGCAGCACTCTGGAAGTGGGCACACTGCGCAGCTCAGAGAAGTGCAAGTCGGGAATGTCACCCAACTGTCCGAAAAGCCTTTCTTATTTTTTTACTGTAATCACCTATTGCACTGATCTTTTTTTTTTTTTCCAGAACTGGGGATTGAACTCAGGTCCTTGCTCTTGCCAGGGGTGTGCTTATTCTACTGAGCCATCTCCCTGGCCCCTGTACTGGTCTTTTATACATTCAGAGAACAGTTTATCTGTCTTTAATTAAAACAACTGCTAAATCTGCCACTGGTTTTTTCTTTGACAGATTGAGCCTTCCTAATCAGCCTTTCTCAGACAAATTTCAGAAACAGTAATTTGGCATTTTGCAAATGCAGAAGTGGCAGCTTAGTCTAAGCCAGGGGTCTGTGGTCTTGGATGCAATGAAGAAGTTGTGCAATACTTTATTTTTCCAGCCTCTACTAGAAATTGAGCGTTTTCTTCCATTATCGTGTTAGTTTACTTGAAAGCTTGGTTAAGTGTATTTCACTGTGATCGTTTCCCATATAATTTTATGTATCTTATTCTACGCATTTGAAAACATTTTGAAAAGCAGTCTGTAAGCTTCCCCACAGCCATATAGATAGCAAAAAGATGAACAAAATGTTTCCCTCTGTGGTAGGGCCACTTGAATACCTTCTAAGAATTCTCACAGTTGTGCTTTTTTTATTTTCAGTAGAGATAACAATGATAACTTGCTTCATTTAATGTGCTGTTATATTTCAGGTTTATGTACAAGTTAATAAAGAAGCAGCAGATGATAAAAATATAACCAAATCGGCGCATGAATTCTTCCAACGACTGGAACTGGGTGATATGCAGGCACTTTCACTGTGGCAGAGATTTCGAGACTTGAGCGTTAAAGAATACAGTCAGATTTACAAGGTACGCATAGATGCCTGCGCTTTCCTGTGTTGAGTAGCTCTCCCTGGTACTGCTGCTTATTAAAGCTGCTACTTAAGCTGGTATTTAAAAACAGAGTTCTGGTTAAGCTGAAAACCGACTGACCAATGTCAGTGACATTCTAATACTTCTGGTCAGCTTGGCTTTTCTTTCCTCTCTGCTACCATTCTTATTCATATTTTCTTCTTTCACTTCCTTAGGCCTGTTTATAATGGGTATAAATTCATTATTTAATAAACATTTGCTGAAGATGATAATGTATATAACTATGTGTAGTAAAGATACTGTGTGCTGTGAATAGAAGAAACAAATTTGGTCGTGTGCACCTTACATTCTAGCATGGAGTAAGAGCAAATTAAACAGTTAAAGATAGAACAAAAAAGAAACATGGATAGACCATTAGATGGCACTAGATTGTGAGATCCATCAGGTGTGTTACATGAGTGGCATGAGAAGAATTTCGGTAAAGAAGCCTGGCATGTAAATGAGGTGAAAAGTGGTAGGAAAGAAGCTGAAGAGGTGGTGATGTGGGGCACATGTAGGCCATTCTCCAGCGCTGCCCAGTTTAGCTTTCTGCTATGACAGCCAAGTCCTGTGTCCTTGTCTGTCATAGGAGCCGCTGGCCACATGCGGCTCTGAAGCACTTGAAGTGTGAACAGTATGACTGAGGAACTCAATTCTTAGTTTCATTTAATTCTAGTAGCCACGTGTACTGGGTGCCTGCCCACTGGACAGCATGGTCCACTGTAAGGGTGTAGCCAGGGCCATGTGAGTCACTGGGTGCCTTGGCAGAGGAGTGACCTGCTCCATCTCTGTTTTTCCATCAGTGTGACAGATGGGAATGTAGCCTGATTACTTTTAGGGTGATTATTGACTAATGCTTTGTTTCTTTTGTTTCTGAACCCTTTCAGCGTCTAGGAATATACTTTGATGAATACTCAGGAGAATCATTTTATCGTGAAAAATCTCAAGAAGTCTTAAAGTTGCTGGACAGTAAAGGACTCCTACAAAAAACAGTGTATGCTAAGGTTACTACTACTCCTTAGTAAAGTTACACGTTCTTTACATGAGGGAACTAAACCACGGGAAACATAAGTGGCCTATCCCAGATCACACAAAAACTGAAAGAGCATAATTTAAAAAACAGCTTACTCTTTCTGACTGAGCCTTACTTTACCAAGAAAGAAAGAAAGAAAGAAAGACTCTCTCAGGGCTGGTGAGATGACTCAGTGGTCTAAAGCACCTACTTAGAACAAGCTAAGCTAAGCAAAGCACAGGGACCGCGGTTCAATCCCCCAGCACCACATACCAGCCAGTCCCGCCCCCTGGTGGGCTGAGCTGGCCACACACACACACACACACACACACACACACAATAAATAAAAATTAAAAAAAAAAAAGAAAAAGAATCTCTCACTCACTCTTTTTAGTAGGTATTTAATGCTGTAGACTTTCAGAAGAGTAAAGTAAGAACACCAGGAAGTAGGGACAGGAAAATAACATAAGATCAGAGACATCAGTGTGTCCCTACTGGGGTATGTTACGATGTGTTTATGGTACGCTTCTTTTCTTTAGTTTTGTTTTTTTTAAATATTTTTGACAAATGACAAAAATATATTTATGGTATGCATTGTGATGTATTGATATATATACACACACATTTATGTAAAGCTGTGTAACGTGCTTATCTTTAATAACCACTAACTAGCTAATTGGCTTTGATGAGAAATTTAAAATCTCTTGTAACAGTTTTCATCTGCACTGTACATTATTCATTATAATCACCATGATTTCTCCAGAACTTACTCTTCCTGTATAACTGCAACTCCGTACTCTGTAAGAGATATTACCCCATTCTCTGTCCCTGGTAACCACCATTCTGCTCTGTTTCTGACTTCAGTTCTTCCAGATTTCATATAGAAGGTCTGTAGTATTTGATTTCCTGTGCCTGGCTTGTCTCTTTGGGCATGATGCACCTTGGGTTCATCCATACTGTGATGAATGACAGGATTTCCTTTTATAAGACTGAATAATATTCAGTTATATATGTAGACTGCATTTTAGAAAGCCATCTGTTGATGGACCCTGGCTTGATTCCATATCTTGGTTATTATGGTAGTACTACAGTGAGCATGGTAATGCAGATGTCTTATACTGATTTCATTTCCTATGGATATATGCCCAGAAGTAGAGTTCTTAGGGTTTTTTTTTTTTTTTTGCAGACTGGGGAATTGAACTCAGGCCCTTGTACTTGCCAGGGAAGCACTTATTCTAATGAGCCATCTCCATGGCCCACTAGGTCATTTTGTAATTCTGTTTTTAAAAATTTTTTGCTAGGCATGGTGGTACATGCCTGTAATTCTAACACTCAGGAGGCTCAGGCAGAAGGATCACTATAAGTTTAAGGCCATCCTGGGCTTGTACAGTTCAAGCTAGCCTGAACCACAGAGTAAGACTGTCTCAAAAATATTTTAAAAACTAAAAAATTTTAAAGAACTTCCATGCCATTATATAACAGCAGCACCCATTTACATTTCTGTATTTCTAACAGTAGTGCACAGGGATTCTTTTCCTGCATTTTCTTTTTTTAGGACTCGAACTCAGGACCTGCTGCTTGCCACACTGCTGCACTATATCCCAGGCCCTCTTCCACATTCTTGCTGTTTTATTGTACCTTGTTTTTCTGATAAGAGCCATCTTAGCCAATAAAGAGCTGTCATTGTGATTTTGATTTGACCCTGATGGTCAGTAATGTTGAGCACCTCTTCATGTACCTGGTAGTCTTTTTCTTTGTTTTATGTTTTTTGTTTGTTTGTTTGTTTGTTTATTTTGTTTTGTTAGAAGGGTCTACAGGGAGTTCAGGTCTCACTACTAAGTCAGACTCTTAGTGATTCTCCTGTTTACAACCTCCCAAGTGCTAGGATTATGGGTGTGTGCCACCACGCCCAGTCTCAGTGGCCATCTCAGCACGCCCCAGGGGTGGGGCTGGCACATCAGGCCTGGGATTAAACCCCAATCCACTGAGTTTTTTGGCCGGCCCTTTTTGTATGTTTTTTTAAGAAACGTCTCTATAAATTCTTTGCCCGTTTCTAGATCAGGTTATTTTTTCTTGTTATGGAATTATGCATTTCATATAGTGTGGATGTTAACCCCTTATGAGATTATGGTTTGCATATATTTTCTCCCACTCGAGGTTTTTCTCTTTGTTGACTGCTTTTTTTGTTGTGCAAGAACTTTTTAGTTTGAGGTAACCTTGCTTGTCTTTTTGTTTTCTAATTGTGTTTTTGGAATCATAACCAAGATTGGCTTCTTCTATATTATCTTCTAATATTTTTGCAATTTTAGGTCTATTTTGATTAGGTGTTTGTCTAGGGGTGAGAACAAGGGTCCAGTTTCATTCTTCTGGAGGTGGATCTCTAGTTTTCCAGATTTTTTTTTTAATTTTATTGAGAAAAAAATAGCAGTGAGACAGTTTCAAATCCGATTAGTAGGACAGTTTCAGTAATTAATACATTGTATATTGTTGTCTTCATAGTGGTTATTCACAGTAGAAGATGCAAGCATGACATCCTGTCCAAACACTGTTAGTACAAATCTTTCTTATTGAATTAAGAGAAAGTAGTTGTATATCTATCCTATTTTGTATATACAGATACAAAATGGTCCTTCATTTGTATCCCCTTTTTTGTTTAGCTTTGTCAGATATAGGTATTCCATTGCAATTTAAATATTGTAGGTACATGAATTTAGCAAAATAATCCAATATAGTCCAGTAGTCCATCCATAATAGCAGTGGGTTATCTGTAGGACTGGCAGTGTCAAAAGTTGTTGACTTGAACCTTTTACAGCTCAGTATATTAATATGGCTTTACTTTTTATACTTTTCTGCTGGATGGTTAAGACCAAGATAAAGCAAAATCTATGTAACAAGAAATGTAACTTTTGTACCTGACAAGGTCAGTCAGATCCCCTCAGGATTTACCCTGAAACCCTATACTGCAGTTTGTAGATCCTTTGTCAGTGTCAGCCAAATGTCCACACCATGCAGTGATTTACAAAATCAATAAAATCCCTATCAAAAGATCAACATTTTTTATAGAAACAAAAATAGGGGTCCAGGAAGATGGCTCAGTAGAATAAACGCTTGCCTGGCAAGCATAAGGACCTGAGTTCAATCCCCGGTTCTGCTGGGGAAAAAAAAAAGAAAATTAAAAGAAAAGAAAAATGGGCCTTTCTTCATTATTTCTCCGTATTAATTTTAGAATTATTTTTGTTTCTATAAAAAATGTTGATCTTTTGATAGAGATTTTATTGATTTTGTAAATCACTTTGGATGGTGTGGACATTTTTACAACAGCCTATTCTTGGCTATTAAGTTTTGACAGTTTTTAGTATGTAGATCTTTTACTTTCTTGCTAAAATTCCTAAGTATTATAAATTTTTTGATGCTGTTCCAGATGGGATTGCTCTTGATTTCATTTTCCGGTTTTTCATTACTGGTATATAAACATGTTGAGTTTTCATTTTGTATACTACAACTATACTAGTTTTATTCTGTTTTTTGGTGGAGTCTTTTAATTTTTCCATATATAAGATCTTATTGGATGCAAACAAACAAAATTTAATGCCTTCCTTTCAGATTAGGCTTCCTTATATTTTTCTTACTTTTTTTTTTTTTTTACCAATTCCTTTCTAATTTTGTTTTTAGCTTTCTGTCAGCTAAAAAAACAGAAAAATGCTACCAATTATTAGAGCCTTGCCATCTATAGTATACAAACAAATCAGGTACTTGGGAATTTCATCCTTCATGGTATGCAACCAAACTTCTCCTGTTATCTTTATAAGGAAGACATTGAAAATATAATTCATGGCATCCTCAGAGATGTCCAAAGGAAATTTTTGTCATATTCTAGTTTTTGGTCAAGCAGTAAAGATACTAATAAAAGTCTGTTGTTTTTAGTATACAGTACTTTCTGGCATGTTAAAAATGAGCTCATAGCAAGGCAATGATCCTGAGAATATTCAGAAGATTCTTTAATCTAGCAGTTAATTGGAAAGATTCTCACCCTGACCAACTATATATACTGATACCTGTGAACTAAGCTACTGCACTGCAGATGGTAATTTGTAATAGTTGTTTCATGTTGGGAGTGCCTGTCATTGTGGTATTCTGAATATGGGCGGCTTGTCATGACATGCCAGTTACTGCTAAGATGTCTCTTGGGTAGGTGGATGTTCAAGAAGAAGGGGGTTGTGAATGAAAGAGACAGGAAAAGGAATATTGTGGGACTGTCCTGCTTCAAGGTTGTATATGGTGAGATTTTTGGACTTAGGTGCAAACATGAGAAGTATATAATTTTTTATCCTATTTTTAAAATATAATCTAATTTTTAAATTTTTTTATCATATTATGTAGGGACTTAAAGTTCAACATATCAATACTTGATGAAAAATACCTGTTCCTTATTATGCCTAAGATGTTTGAAATGCAGTGAGATAGTGAGGTTAAGCTTGATAGCCTAAATCGTTTGATAATAACAATAAGCTTGTCTTCTGGATGGTTAACAGCCTAAGTTTGCAGACCAAAATTAGAGAAAAAGGAGGGCTACAAAGAAAGCCAACATTTTGGCCCTAGCCTTCTAAGGTCAATTAAGACTCAGGACATATGAGAACTTGTACTGTAACGTCATGTACCTTGGTAGTGTCCCAAATTTTCTGATCAAGAAGATTATGAGGCCAAAGAGGAAAGTGATCGATGACTTAGAGTGTGCCTAAGGAGAGTCACATAGGGAGAAGACACTGTCTCAGGCTTTCACAGAGAGCACATTGGCCAAGCAATGGCCGTGACTCATCCACATGGCTGCACTGACAAAAGTTCTACAATCTGAGGTACAGGATCTCAGGATAAATCCTGAGGGCATTTCACTGACCTTCTCAGACCAAAAAGCTACAGCTCTTGTTGCACAGGTCCTGCTTTACCTTGGTCTTAACCATCCAGTAGAAAAGTATGAAGATGAAATATAGGAAGTAAAGCCATGTTGTTATGTTGAGCTGTGGGGGACTCAGGTCAATAATTTCTGATATTGCTAGTTAAACAGAAGACCCAATGCTATTATAGGCTACTGGTCTCTTTTAGAATGCTTGGCTGAGTTTACACACCTATAATATTCAATAACGGAACTTAGAAAAAATGGGGTATGCCGATGAATGTCCATTTTGTATCTGTGTATTCAAAGAGGTTGGGATAGATATATAGTTGCATTCTCTTAATGAATAGAATGATTTGTTCTAATGGTGTTTGTAAATAGGGTCTCAAGTCCGCATCTTGTACAGCAATTAACCACTAAGAAGAATATATGCAGTGTGTTATTTGTTGAAACTGTACTTCCGATTTGATTTGAAACTGTCTCATTGCTATTTGTTTATCAATAAAATTTTGGAAAAAAAAATGAGCTCATTATTAAGTGCTATAACAATTTGCAATAGAAAACGCTTTGTGATATTTCACAGACAAGCTGCAGTTATCTCTTTTCAATTACTATGTTAAAGATTTTGAGGGGCCAGCCAGATAGCTCGGCAGACCAAAGCGCCTGCTTAGGCAGACGCAGGGACTGGGGTTCAATCCCCAGCTTGCCATGCCAGCCCCACCCCCAGGGCCCACTAAGGCAGTGAATGAGGCTGGGCATGGTGGTGCACACCTGTAATTGCAGAGCTTGGGAGGCTGAAAACAGGAGAATCACTATGAGTCTGATCTGTGTAGTGAGACCCTGTATACCCTGTACTAAATACATTTTTTTTTAAAAGAAGAAAATTGTGAGTACCTAATCTAATGCTACAGATTTTAAAAGATGATAATACCCACTTTTAAAAGCAACCCCCCCCCAAAAAAAATAAATCAATCAATAAAGCAACCCAGTCGTACTTATTCTTCATAGTCCTTGTTTCTACTGTTGGTTGGTTGATCACAGCTTGTGTTGACAGTGTTTATTGTTGCATTAGCAATAAAAATAAACTTCTGGTTTGCCAGAGATATTGTGATAGATGCTATACTTTCAAAAGTCTTGATTTATTGCGTTGCTCTAGAGTTGCCTTCTTGTATTCCTAGGAAAGGAACTGCTACGGTGGATCTCTCTGGGAATGGTGAGCCCTCTTCAGTTTGCACTGTAATGCGAAGTGACGGAACTTCTCTCTATATGACAAGGTTCGTAGCTTCCATGAATGTAAATGTGGAATTTGTATGTGACATCATCTTCTCTGTCAGGACAGAGTGCCAAAACTGTTATCAAGTCTTAGTTATGGATTATAAATATATTGCTTTTGGTTTTTTAAAGATACTTACTAGGTTACTTCAGATAACTGCAAGTTACACCTCCTGAAAGGTTTAATATCAGGAAAGCAACTTGAAAATTATCTACAATTTAACATCCTAGTTCTACAGGAAGCTGTAAAAACTGGGTCCTTTATAATAAACTTACTTTGCAGTGTTGGCAATCAAACTGAGGGCTTAATGCATGTAAGAGAAGCACTCTCCCCTCAGCTCACACACAAACCACTTTTATAACAAGGTAATTATATTTTATTACTTCCATCATTGATCTGAATCAACTTTAAACAAGCAGTGAAGTCTTTTAACTGCCCCTTAGAAATTCATCTCTTACTATGACTTTTTGATCTTTCCCTTTATGAAGACATACAGTTGAGGTTAGGAAATAAGAACCGATGTATAAAAGGCATTCTTTCTAGATACAAAAAGTATGTGTCATGTGTGTGCCAGCTAATGGTTAGACAAATTAAAGCAACCTAAGAGAGTAGTTAGGAGCAGTTTCATTCTCCATGTCAGAAGGACGACAGCCGTCCTGATCTGGGTCATTTGTCTTGTCACAAGGACTACCAGTTAGGGGTGCATTTTTGTCTGTGTTTGTGTTAATACTTGTATTAATACATTTGTGTTCTCTTTTTTACTTTGGGTCAGTAGTTGTCTCTTTGCCTCAGTGGTTTCCTTACAGAATACATCTGCATGTGAAGATAGGAATTAGAGTTATTATAGCAAAGAAAAGTGCAGGAGGATACTGAAAGGAGAGTGTGAGGCTGGAGACTTGGCTTTTGTTCTGATGCCTGCTGTCATTTCGTGCTGTGGCCCTTGGCCACCTGCTCTGAGAGATGGGAGGCCTAGACTACGTGACTGGACATTCCTTCCAGCTTTCAAATTCAGTTTCTGCACACTCAAAACTAGTACTGTCTCTTAAATTTTTCTCTTGTTCTTTCACTGGTTCAAGAGGTTTCTTTTTGTATTGTGTTTTTAGTTCAAGCCAAAAAATATGATGGGGCTGAGTTTTTGCACAGCATTTTTGTGATAATCGTCTTTACATGAGTGTTCTTTAAGCTACTGCTACTACTGTTATTATCCATCTCAGAAACCTTTTTAGCCATAGTGTTTTCATTTGCTAATCCTCAAGAAATTTCAGGGCCAGAGCTGTGCAGTATATCTGCAGGTATCATGTGCATATCCATGCTTTATGCATAAAACAGTAAGATTCTCTTATTCCTCAAAAACTAGTTTTTGCCTCCATGGCAAATTCATTTTCCATGCAGTGGCAGGATGCGTTACAGATGACATTTTGATGATCTCCAACATTTCAAAAGATGTAAAAACTTTTTCAGTTCTTCTAGTATCATATATTATGAATTTTCAACTTCAGTATTTTAAAAATCTTAAAATTTCATAGTTTACATTATCTTTTTTAATGCTATGTAAAACTGGGTATTTTGTATTTAGTTAGACATAAAAGAGGTAAGTGAAATTTTATCTAAGTATATACAGACTTTTAAAATGCAGTTGAGGGCTAGGAAGGTAGCTCAGTTGTAGCGCTCTTGCATAGCATGCCAAAGGCCTGTGTTCAAACCCCCTCCCCCTTGAAAAAAACTTTTAAAATACACTAGAGGGTGGCATCTGAGTGACCCAAGATTTTGGGGTTTTTTTGTTTGTTTGTTTTGTGTTTTTGTTTGTTTGCGGAACCGGGGATTGAACTCAGACCGTTGCACTTGCCAGGCAAGTGCTTATTCTAACTGAGCCATCTCCCTGGCCCCTGACCCAAGATTTGAAAGTCACTGATTGTATTAATAGAGTTGCTAGAAGAAAATTTATTGCAGGAAAGTGACAAATGATTCTTCTCAGTAGGAGCTTAATCATGACACTTTTTCCTACAAGATTTCTTGCTTAGAACTATTTTAGTATTCACTACTGCTTTTCTTAGAGCCTTTTTAATTTTAGTTTTCAATTATATTTCCCAGAGCTCTAACTATTAATTGTTCTACCCAAACCTAACTTAGTTAGTATTTTTTTATATCACAGTATATTCTACAGGTACAAGTCATACATGCCCAGCTATGGTGTAATGTGAGTTCTTAAGTAAAATTTTTTATTACTATTAAATAGGTAAAGCTAATTATTACTCAGATTTGTATAACAGCTCTTGATTTATGACTTTTTTTAGAGACCTTGCAGCTGCTATCGATCGAATGGATAAGTATAATTTTGATACAATGATTTATGTGGTAAGTAATCACAATAAAGAAGAAAAGTCTTGACTCTACAGACTGCCCAGATAAAAATGGGTTATTGTATTGGAAAACTATTTAAAAGTTCTTTTGTTAAACTAAGGAGAAAATTAATTATTAAGTAATTATAAAGGGGTAGCCTCTATAAAAAGTTTAGAAAGATTTAAAAATGAAAAAGTTCACATTGCTTTACAGTTAAAAAAAAAATCCAAATCAGGAAAGTGATAATTATATTACATTAATGTGTCCAGGCCATGTAATTGAAGTATTTGCAAAGACTTTTTAATTAAAGATTTTTTTTTTGTTTTTGGAGACAGCACCTCACTATGTAGTTCAGATGGTCTTTAAACTCACTGTCTACCCTAGGCAGGCCTCAAATTTGCATCAGCCTCTCAAGTGCTGGGATTACAGGTGTGCACCACCACACCTGGCTCATGATATTTTAAGACTTCAAATATTAGTGTTTCCAGCTACCTTCACTCAGCTGTCCCCAAAAATACTTTATATAAGCATAGTATTTTGTCAGTATCAAGAAATTAACATTTCTAGAAACCTTGCTCAAGTTTCTTCAGATTTTAAATGCACTTTCTTGTGGATTGGTTTTATAAAATTTGTAACCATTAACCACATTCAGAATGTATAATTTTTCTATCATGAAACAAGACTCCCTTCATAGTCAGTCACTTAGTACTCTTACCTTTCCTCTACAGTCTAACCCTGTTCTCCATCCCAAATGTTATCATTTTGAGAGGGTTACATAGATGGAATCATACAATATGTACCCTTATGAGGTTGGCTTTTTGTTTTGTTTTGTGTATTTGGTACAGGTTCTACGGGGTCTCGCTGTGATTACAGGCACATCCCGCCAAGCCCAGTCTCAATCGAGGTCTCAGGGTTCCCTGGGGGTGGGGCCGGCACAGTACGCCAGGGATTGAACGCTGCTGCACTCTGCTTAAGCAGGCGCTTTAGTCCACTGAGGTATCTGGCCGGCCCTAGTGTTGCTGCTTTTATTGCTGAGGATTTTAGTCTTTCCTTCTCATGTTCATATGAACTGTCCCCTTTTACTAGAAAGTTGCCATCAGACATCTTTTTGAAGCTAGACTTTGATTTTCTTGGAAATAGATGCCATAATAACTGAGAAAGGAAGAATTTCAGTGGTATAGTCAGAAGATTAAAGCTCCTGCATCCTCCCTACCTGGTGCGTGCTGCACCTCTTACCTTCCTCACTTGCAGAGCCTTCAGTTCAGACACTGTTTTGTTGTGTCTTATTTCTGTGTTTGTGTAAAGGGTATTGACAGTCACCTTAGTCTGCAGAACTCTAACATGTTAATTTGATTGAGATTCAGCCTATTTTTTATGTATTAATTTACCAGTATTTTTTTTAATTTTAAATTTGCTTTCTTTCCAAGACAGATAAAGGGCAGCAAAAGCATTTTCAGCAACTGTTCCAAATGCTGAAGATCATGGGCTACGACTGGGCAGAAAGGTAGTAATATCTCATGGTTCTGTATTACACTCAGGGTCCCTGACACTGAATTAGGGCAGCCAAGCCCCAGAATGCATCTAGAAAGATTTTCGTTCAGACTGCAGTTCTTTGTTTCAAGATGTGAGTGTGAAAAAAACAAGTTGAATTTTTGCATTTAATCCGTATCCTGAGAAAGGTGTTTTTATTAGACACCTGTACTGGCTACCACAATTCCTAATTCTCATCTCCTTTTCTTCATAAAGGAGCTCAGTAGTTTAATCACATTCTATCACTTATTTCAGAAAAGTGAAGCTGTCCACAATAGGTCTTGTGACATACTACAGATCTCACATCTCATGTTATTTTATTCACATTTAAAACGGCAGTGAGGATCAAACTACGCTACAAGGGTATTCTGATGTACTCAGATTGGTAGCTCTTTCTAGCTTTAGGTCGACAAAATGCTCCTCCTTGCAGGTGCCAGCATGTGCCCTTTGGAGTAGTGCAGGGAATGAAGACCCGAAGAGGAGATGTCACTTTTCTGGAAGATGTCTTAAATGAGATTCGACTCAGGATGCTGCAGAACATGGCTTCCATTAAGAGTAAATCCACTTTGTTATTGAAGTCATGATTGCTGAACATTTGGGCAGTGAGATTTATTATAACTGTCCCTCCACTTAACTTGTCACTAACTGTGCCAGCAGTAACTTTCACTAAGGTACCAGAGTTTTTAGAGGTAACACCCATTTGTTCGTTGTAATAATCTCAATCCATATGATGGTGTTCTTTTCATAGGCAGCTTTGGCATCATTATTCTATAATCTGAGCTGTCACGTAAGAATCTTGCATTATAATGTGGATAAAAGTTTCAAGTTCATGTCTTTGATTAACCTTTACTCTTAAAGTAGTTGTTAGCTATGTCTAATGGCTTATGGAAAAGTAATGTAAAAAATTATATTTCTTCCCTTTAAGCAGGGTAAATACATTCCATCACATGTATTGACCTAAACTAGCCAAGTGCCAACTGTGAACTTGCTTGCTCTTGTCTGCAGATATTTTTGGCAGATTTTTGTCTCAGATTTGATCCATGATTGGGCGCATTGTCATGCAGTTTAAAAGATAGCTGCCATTATTTGTTTCAGCAACTAAAGAACTTCCAAACCCACAAGAGACTGCGGAAAGGGTCGGGCTGGCAGCGCTTATTGTTCAGGTCTGTTAAGTCTCCTTCCTATGACAGTTTTTTTTGTTTTGTTTTGTTTGTTTGTTTTTCTGGTAGGAAATAAATCCCAGGGCTGAAAATTTACTCTCATTTTAGGACTTCAGAGGTTTGCTTTTATCTGACTATCAGTTCAGCTGGGATCGTGTTTTCCAGAGTCGTGGGGACACAGGAGTGTTCCTGCAGTACACACATGCCCGCCTCCACAGGTGAGAAGAGGCCTCAGGGGAACGGGCTGCTGTCCGCCCACAGACTGGGGCATGGCTACTGTGGTTCTGCGACCAATGGCAGGCTGTTTCCTGGGTCCCTCCAACATCTCCTGTTCAAAACTGTAAAAGCACAGACTTCCTATTGTAGTTTTCAAATATTTATTCAGCCTATGAAAGAAATACTTTTATATATCTAACCTTATATAGTTCTCAGAGTAACCCTGCCAACCCCGTTACCTACATCTTATAGATAGGAAACATTTAGGGAAAAGTGAGGACTTGATGTCACACTTGACTGCAAAGCCTAGATCGGTATCGAGATGAAGACTGTACATTAGGAGGTAATGTTCAGCCTCTGCAACTGTGTGCCTCAGGGTGACTTGGGTTTTTAACTTTAAACTTTTCTACAGCTTGGAAGAGACTTTTGGATGTGGTTACCTGAATGACTTTAACACTGCTTGTTTACAAGAGCCACAGTCTATTTCAGTTCTCCAGCATCTTCTCAGGTATGGAAATTTTCTGGTGTTACCACGCCTGCTTCGGCTTACTGAGTTGACTGTTGGTTGGTTAGCTTTGCTGACCAGTACAGTCTGTAGGCCAGTTGCTTCCTCCTGCCTCTAGATCTAGATCTTTCCTAAGATATGCCCAGAAGTGTCTGGCTTGTGGGGTTAGATGGACATGCATGTAGTAAGCCATTATTCAAAGTCAGACCTTGAGTCTTAGTAATGCTGTCACCTTTGAATTATCCAGATGTCTAAGATACTCTAGTCCATTGTCCAGGAAGATAAATCTTGATAAAAGCATAACTTTTGGTTTTGGAAAAAAGCTTCTTCTCACCTTCTGTGATGTGAAGGAAAGTTGCGTTGAGCAGCTTTCTCAAGTCTTTCCCTTGCCTTCTGCTTTCATGGTCTCAAATACTGTGCATCCTCCCATGAGATACGCTCATACACTTTGGATCACGCAAGTGTTGGTGAACCTAGCCTTGTCAGTAGAAATAAATGCTAAGGGGGCTGTGGGTGGCTGTAAACAAGGCAGTTTTCTCTGATTGCCACACAAGTAGGTAGTGTTCTTTCTGGAATCAGAAAATTTACTCACAAGTAGCTAATTTGCAAGGGAAAATAAACTAGCCTGATTTTCTTACCCGTGAGGGTGCTTTACTGCTTCATGGATTGTTTCTCAGTGTGGCTGCAGGCTTTGTACATTCATGTGAACAGTCATGATTTAAGTCTTTGCTCCAGACTATGTGTATGTGTATGGGATACCAAGATGATTCAGAAGGTTCTTGCCATGAAGGAATTTGTAAAAAATATACGGCTTCTACCTTTGTGATGTCGGTATCCAAGATGTTTCACTGTCCTAACATCCCAGCTTAACACGGCTGAACGTGTCCCAGCCAGCTGCTTGTCGGCTTTCTTTCAGGTTTGATGAGGTGCTGTATAGATCGTCTCAGGACCTTCAACCCAGGCACATCGTTAGTTACCTGCTAACTCTAAGGTACCTTATAATCTTCCTATTTTCAGGTATTAATTTGATCCAACAAGAAACCTTTTTATAAGCCAAAGTTTTCCCATATCTATATACCCTTTCCTGTAATTCCATGATAGGAATTCTTGTTTTGTCTTTGCCAACTGGTAATTCATATTTATTAATTCAGTGATAGAAGATAGTCACTATAGTGAAGTCTAGGACCCAACAACGATATAGGGGCCAACAGTGCACATGTGCTGTGATAGGATGAGCAGAAGGGATGACACTGGCCCAGCCACCTCGTAGGACCAGAGAGCACTCAGAGTGAAGCAGGCATCCATCAGGAGAAGCAAGGAGCTGGCAAGGAGGCCGTGCAGTCCAGGGGCGTGGGGCTTGAGGAGGGACCCATATTGGACCTTTTGGCCATTTAGACTACTTTACAGGGGCAGGGGAGTCCATGAAAGTTCTTAGCAGAAGCAAAAGAATCAATGAGCAAAGTGGAGTGAACAGGGAAGTAAATCAGTAACACTTTGATAGAAGTTTCATAGTTACAGCTTTTAATAGTTGAATCTAAAAAACCAGGCGTGGTTGTGCATGCCTGTAATCCCAGCTGGGGAGGCTGAGACAGGATGATCACTACAAGTCCAGCTGCGTAGTGAGACCCTATACCAAAGAAATAATAGTTGAGTCTGCTTTTGTATAGAAACAGGTTCATCCCATAAAGCAGTTTAACACAGAAAATTTTGCTTTTACCCAAGTTATACTGAATTCAGACTTAGATTTTTATTATTTTATTTTGGTACTGAGAATTAAAGCCAGGAGCTTCACAGTGAGCTACATCCCCAACTTTTTTTATTTTTGAGATGGAGTTTTGCTAAGCCACTGAGTTGCCCAGGCTGGGCTCTGGCTTGCAAGTCCTCCTGCCTAAGCTCCCAACGTTGGGCAGGGGAGATAGCTCCATCCATAGCTAAGTGCATGCCTGATAAGCACAGAGACCCAGGTTGAATCCCTGGTACCACGTGCCCGCCAAGCCAGCCAACGAAACTGGGCGTGATGGCACATGGTTGTAACCAGCGCTGGAGAGGCGGATCCTATCACATGTGGCGCTGCATAATGAGACTTAGTACCAAATGAAAAAGAAAAGGCTCCCAGTGTTGGGATACAGGCATGTGTCACCATGCCTGGCTTGTTTATATTTTTACCTTTTTTCTCGATTTAAATGATTTTTTCTTTAAATTCTACTTAGACTTCTAGAAGTGAAAACACCAGGAAGTCTTAAGAAATGTCACATAATCATTAAATGAATGTCTTTATTTCTCTGACACATAACAAAGCACTTCAAAAGAGTGCCCGGGGGGAACTACCCTTTCGGGGCCCCCCTCCTGTCCCTCTCTCAGGACAGGAGCTTTCTCTCAATAAATATATTCTGCTCATAAAAAAAAGTGCCCAATGTGTATGTAGAGTGAACTGAAAACCAGTCCATGTCCTACCTCCTCCCTGTGCTGTGGTGTTGTACATTTATTCATTTATTTTTGGATTTTTTGAGACAGGGTCTGCTATGTAGTTCAGGTTGGCCTTAAGCTCATTTTGTAGCCCAGGCTGGTCTTGAGCCCAGTCTCCTGAGTGCTGGGTAACAGGCGTGTACAACCATGCCTGGCTCATGGTAGTCTTTTAAATGCTGTTTATATAAGGACAAACTAATTGTTAGCAAGCAATGCTCTCTACTTGTAAAGCTAACAGTGAAATTGTAATCTTTAAGAATCTGCCACTTGGTTGTAGAACCAGGCAAGTTTAGGTGTTTTGTCTATTACAGAAGGCAGTGAATTCCAATCTCAGCTTTAGTTTTGCATACTTCAGTGGTGCTAGGCTGTTACCTAAATTGAGGAGGTAGGGTCAGATATCGAGTTCCTTTGTCAAAACAGGAAACTCCTGCTGGTCCCCACAGTGACTCTGCTCTTCCTGTTTCAGTCATCTTGCAGCTGTGGCACACAAAACCCTCCAAATAAAAGATAGTCCTCCTGAAGTGGCTGGGGTAAGTTATGTTGAATGTCTTTTTCTAATCTCTTAACTGCCCAAAACTAGTGTTATGGGATATTAGTCTTGTAAATTTTTCTAAAGTAGTATTCTCTTGTTCATCGCCTTCTGACTTGGAAAATAATTAGATCTGGGCTATAACCATACATGTTATTTCCAAAAGTACTGTACTACAAAACGCATCTTCCTGCATCAAGTATTACAGTAATAAACTGTTCCTCTCAGTGCAGGATTTTCATACGGGTCTTACTATAAGGATGGATGTGGACTGGGGAGATAGCTCAGTGGCTTAAGAGCTACCTAGCAAGCACAAGGTCCTGAGTTCGATCCCTAGAACCAAATAAAAAGGAATGAGTATCTTTCCTCACCTATAGTAAATTCTAGGGGAATTTGAGATATTATTCCTACCTCAGATTAAAAGTTAGAATTCTAGACTGTCCTGCTTCAAGGTTGTATATGGTGAGATTTTTGGACTTATGTGCAAACATGAGAAGCATAGAATTCTTTATCCTATTTTTTAAAATATAATCT